GGATCTTCCTAAGATCTCCTCATTAGGAGATCTTGGTCTTTGATTTATCAATCAAAGGTTAAGATCTTATTCTCTTCCTTTTCCCTACTTTTCCTCATGAGGAGATCATGACCTTTGATTGATAAATCAAAGACCAAGATCTCATGAGGAGATCTTAGGAAGGGTCCTCGTTAGTAGAGGATCCCAATCCAAATATAGTATAGTGTTCTACACTATAATGTATGTCCTTGTTCACATGTTAGCATGACATATTGCTATTGTCTAAGTTTGTCCTATATCGGTGGCAACTAGCTAGGTTGTAAGATTTCTTGCGTGTTTGATCTCTTTCCTCTCTATTTTTGCCCCCTTTGTGAGTTTAGAATCTTATCTTCATTAGTTAAGGGTGTTTCTATTTCTGACCAAAACTTTAGGTCAATGACAATGAAATAAGGCAGCACATGTCATTTTCTTGGGGGTTTCATCCAAGATTAATACTTATCAAAAGGACATTCATTTGTCTCATAGGTGGTGTAATGATTTTGGTCCTAAAGTGATTTGTTATTTTTAATTATTGAGCTTCTAAAAATAAAGATTTAAAAATGCAAAAATAAAATGAGAAAAAGCTTAAATGCATATATCCCTCCATATTATAGAAGGTTAGTCAGTTATTGCTTAATTCCGAATTTTTTTATTTGGTCCAAAGTAGTTCTTTGGTATCCACTCTTTGCACATAGTCTCCTTGTTCTCTTGTAGGTATTCAACGTACATCTGTCGTAGTTAGTTAAGGAGGAAGAAAAAAAAATGATAGATACATATATAACTCTGTTTGAGAAACAAAGCGTCTAAATGTTAATAAAAAGAATTAAGGAATAAAAAAACATGCAATTAAACTTTAAAACAAGACGAGGAGTCATGAGCCGATTACCATGAGAACTCCCTTGATGTGTTCATCACTCACATCCCTTCCCCACCTCCGCAAATCAAGCAAAGCTTCAACGACATCTTCATCCCTAGTATCTCCCTTCCTTAACGGATCCAAATGTTCATCAATAACCCGCTGAAAAAACCCATCAAGCTCCCTAAAGTTCTCCTCCAATCTCTCTCTCATCCCGGTGAATTTATCCAACCATCCCAAAGTCGGCACATAATCAGCGAAGAAAAATCCCATAAACAACGCCTGTGTTTCCTTCAAAATTCGCGTAGCTCCCTCTCCGCTATAATATCTTTTCCCTAAAGAGGTCCTACACGTAATATTATTCGCTAGTAACATCACCTCTTCGCTCAAATTAACCTCCAAATTTTGTTGAGAATATATCGAGCGAATCATTCTGTCGACCTCCTCTTCTCTAATAGATCGAAACGAAGCGATTTTTTTGGGGCTGAAGAGATTGAGGATGCAAAGTTTTCGGAGCTCTCTCCATTGATCATCGTAGGGTGAGAAAACAACATCACGACAGCCATAAGAAAGTTTGTTTGTGGGGGTGAGTGAGGGTCTGCTGCAGCATTCAAGGTCGTGTGTTTTCAGGAATTCTCTTGCAATTTCGGCCGATGAGGCGAGGACGGTGGGGACGGTGCCGAGTTTGAGGTAAACGAGAGGGCCGTGTTTTTGAGAGAGTTTGTGCAGGGAACGATGTGGGAGTTCGCGGAAGTGGTGGAGGTTTCCGATGATTGGAAGGTTAAAGGGCCCCGGTGGGAGATTAAATTGATGGTTTTTGGTTGATGAGAGAAGTAGAGAGAGAAGTGAAAGGAGGAAGAGGATGCAAGCAACAAAAACAGCGATAGCCATGGTGCTCTTTAGCGTGGAAGAGCTATAAGAGGCTCTATATGTATACCTGTTATCGCAAGTGAAATGTGGATGTGACTTCAAACGACAGATGCTCCAAAATGACCTGTTATCGCAAGGGAAATGTGGTTGAGACTTCAACGAAACAAAACACAACAAAACAAAACAAAAGTTGTTATTAATTTTCAACGTACAATTTTAGTTCATCTAGACCTCTTTAGTTCTATTGTTATGAATAGACTCATTGAGTGATATAGAAAATTTCCTTTTTAATAAGGGAAAATTGCTTTCAGCCCCCAAAACAACCCAAAACGTGCTCTGCCCCCCCAAGACTTTTTCAACGTGCCCTTTACCCCCAAAACCGCCCCCGATTTTCTTCCAGCCCCCAAAACGAATCCCCAGGCCTAACTCCGTTTAAACCCCGCTCGAAATGCCCAAAATACCCTTACGTTTAAAATTCCCCGTTATGAGTTACCTCCTCGTCCGTACCCTGTCATCTCTCTCTTCTGCAAGCAAACCGACTCCAGAAACCCAATTCAAAACCCTAGCCCTAAATCAACCGACCCCAACGCAAACCGAATCAAAGCAAAGGGATCAAAATGGCCGGCGATTCAACCCCCAAAGCCAACCTCAATGCCGACCACAACGAAAACGATTACGCCCAGCGGTTCGAAATCTCAGAAAGAGCCCATACAACTGCAGTGCGGAATGAATCTGAAGCTCGAGCTGCGATTGGTGATGTTCTAGAGGACATCGCAACCAGCCATTCTCATCCCAGAAGCCCGCCTCAAAATTTAAGTGTAGGCCCCTGCGAAGGTCTAGAGGGCAGCACCGGCACCACCGGCGCGTCCAACGATGCCACTAGAGCGCTCCTTGGTCTACAGAGAGGAGAAGAAGAGAAGCACGTGGCAGCACCCAAAAGGTAATTTTTACCGCAAGTTTTATGTTGTTAAGGTTACGGTTTGATTGATAATGCTCTTAGGATTGATAATGCTCTTAGTCTGGTGGGAAGGTCCAAAATTACGGTGTCTGTTAGCTGTTGAGGTTACTGTTAACATGCAAGGTCTATGCTTTTATTGCTGAGGTTGTTGTTTATTTGTAGAGGTTAGGCTTTGGTTGTTAAGGTTAGGTTTTGGTTGATAAGGTTGTGGGGTTGTTGTTAAGGTTGTTGGTTACTGCCTTTATTGTTAAGGTTGTTGTTTAGTTGTTGAGGTTAGGCTTTGGTTGTTAAGGTTAGGTTTTTGTTGTTAAGGTTATGTGGTTGCTGTTAAGGTTGTTGGTTTACCCGCAAAGTTTACAGCATAGCTGTTATGTTTACTGATTATACTCAAAAATGCTCTCGTCTTGTGTTTTTGTTTTGTAGAAAAAGGGCAAAGCCAGCTATTACGTTGCGGCCCACCGCCAGCTTCGGTGCCTATCACGACTTCATGCAGAATTTGGTGACGCGTATGGGGCCAAGGCATTTTGCGGCCTACGAAGATAGTGTATTCAGACACTACGTCCAATTTGGCCCACCTGGCGTCGATCTTCCCACCTTTGAGCACATTTTGAGTCAGTGGGACAAGAAGAGCAAAAAATTTGTCTTCACCGATAGGAATGATGGAGAAGAGATCGCATGCTCATTCAACCTTGAGTGGGTAATGGAGCATACATGGTTCTCCAATGAGGGGCTTCACGTTGACCACAATCAGGACAGGAAAAATAGGATTTGGTCCAGGTTTTTTGACAAACCCGAGGCGGTGGGTTCCAGCAGTATAGCTCCCCCCAAAGGAGGCCCCACCAGACGCAATGTGGAGGACCTGCTCTTGAAGCTGGTACTATCTTCTGATCGCCGAGATGTGAAGGACTTTGTCCTGCTACAGATCCTCTATCAGCTGAGCATGATTTGGTGTCCAAGCAGTGTTTCCGGCGTTCCTAGGCATTTATTCAAGTACATCGACAGCATCGAACATGTCAATAACACTGCTTGGGGGACCTATATATTCAGTGAGACATCTGACGTGATAGAGAGGGCACTGAAGGGCCCTGAGCCAGGGAAGACGACATTATATCAGCAAGGGTGTACCCCTCTAGTTTGTGTAAGTAATCATGTTTTTTACTGATTGTGAAGGTTAGGGTTTAGTTGTTAATGTCACAGTTTCGTTGTCAAGGTTACGGTTTGGTTGTTAATATTACGGTTTGGTTGTTAAGGTTACGTTTTTATTGTTAGGGTTACTTTATTAATTGTTACGGATGAAGGTGTTTGTTAAGTTTTTATATCTCTAATGTGCAGTTGTGGTATTATGAACTCACCGGCATCAAGAAGCCAGCACTTGGTTGTACGGTGAGGCCTCCCCTGAAAAATTGGGTGAGACTTGGGGACGTTGCTGGTTCTTTGAGATTGGCCACTGTTGTTGCGAAAGCAAGCAAAGCTACGATAAAGCTTCCACAGCAACATGGACAACTTCAAAGAATCGAGGGAGGTTTTGGGGGGAAGGAGCAGGGGATAGAGAAAGAGAAGAGGAAAGAGAGAGAGAAGAGGAGGATTAAGGGTCCGGCTGCAGTAGACGCCGGCAGGGCTCGTGGCCCAAGAGACCTTCTTCACAAGAAGAAGAGGAGAGCAGAAGATGACGACATCCCAATTGATGCACTTGTAAGAACTTAGAAATCGTGGATTTCATTTGTTTTTGAATTAATTAATCCTTTTAATAATACTCTACCTGTCCATTGCATATGTGATGCCACAGGATATTGATGAAGACGCCGAGCAGCCAAACGATGCAGTTGAGCAAATGGAATAGCCTCAGCAAGTTATCTACTGGAAGAGTATCGCGGCAATGAACGAAGCATTACGTCGTGAGAACGAGAATAAATTCAAGGGTATGATTGCTGCATACCGTGTAAAGATAAGTGCTCTTTCTGTGAAGGTGGCTAAGCTGTCTGCTCAAAATAGAAGACTGAGAGAGGAACTAAGCGAAGCACGATCCGGAACCCTCTCTGTATACAAGGATAAGAGCCCTACAGGATTGGTGTCCAGCTCATTGATGGAGCCGCAAACTTGTACAGGTTAGATGTGGCTTGCAATTACGTTTGCGTGTTATGTTTAAAGATTGATTGATAAGTATATGGATTTATTGTTAAGGTTAAGAATAAATTTTTAACTTTACGGATCTAATGTTAAGGTTAGGGATTTATTGTTAAGGTTAAGAATGTATTGTTAACTTTACGGATCTAATGTTAAGGTCAGGGATTTATTGCCAAGGTTGGAGATTGATTGTTAAGTATCTTGGTTAGTTTTAGGGTTATGTAACTGATGCTATGTTTTTTTTGACAATGAAGTACCTAAGCTCATTTGTGTTTATTTTTTGAATTAGACACTCCAGGCACCGTGGGTGGCATTGATGTACAGTACGAGGGGGATGTCAATAAATCATCATTATTTGATGAAGCTAATAAGGAGAGCGAGGCCCCTCCAACAGGGAGGGCCTCTCCACAACCATTGTTTTCTGATATCGACAAGGAGAGTGAAGATGCTCCGCCAGGAGAATTACCTCCACCAGAGGCATCTGCTGTTGACGAGGCTCTTGAGGCAGAAATAAACGAGGGAGAGAAGGTATCCCCGCCAGCGAAGGAGCTACTAACTTGTACAGGTTAGCTTGCTTTTGTACTATACGTTAGAGATTGGTTGTTATGTCTATGTATTGGTTGTTAAGCTTTTTATTGTTTATACTCTGAATATTATCAGAAACAGGCACTCAACGCGAGGGCACTGGAAGGGAAATAACGCCGGCGGTTGAAGTCCCTTCTGCAGGTGATGGGGAGACGCAAACTTGTATAGGTTAGCAACTTTTTCACCATGTGTTTAGGCATCAGTTGTTAGGTTTACTATGAAATTGTTAGGTTTAGATAGAAGGGGCTATGTTTTCATAATATTTATACTTCGAATGGGTTGTTTGGAATCAGACACTCTGCGGGAGGACACTGGGATGGAAACAAAGCAATCAGAGAATGCCCCTCCACCAGCAATATAGACATCAACTGATGACGAAGATGCTCCTATTGCGTTTTCAAGGGCTTTGAATAAGAGAAAGAGGGGTGCAACGGGGCCACGCGGGAAGGTGGCCGCTGCTGCACCCCCTAAACGGAAGAGATGCAAAAGATCGGTGAAGCCTTCCAAGTGGGTAGTCACCCCTTACACTGAAGGAAAGAAGAAGAAAGAAAAAGATAACATAGGGGACAAGGCTATAATAGAAGTGGATGGGGAGGAGGAAGCGCAGGTGCAGGAAAACAATGCAGAGTTGGCTCCTGCTCGGCTACAAAGTGACCCCCACTCTATCTGGGAAAAACACATGAGTTCAGAAGAAGAAATGTACAGAAATAAGCTGAACGAGGGGATTCCCTTTCCAGGAGGCTTCATCATCAAGTTTTTGGACGACAAGTACACATTTGTACATAACTATAAGGTGTCAGCAGATGTTGCCGCGCTACTGACGGAAGAGGAGCAAAAAGCTCTTAACCATTTTTGCATTTGTAGATGTAACAAGTAAGTATTTACCTCACATCTCAAGTATTTACGTTTGTTGTTTAGTTTACGGGTTTGTTGTTATGGTTACTGGTTTTTTTGTTATGGTTATTGATTTGTTGTTTAGGTTAAGGGTTTTTTGTTATAGTTATTGATTTGTTTGTGCAGGTTATGTGGTAGTTGTTAAGGATACGTATTTGATGTTAAGGTTACGTGTTTGTTGTTATGGTTACGGGTTTTTTGTTATGGTTATTGATTTGTTGTTTAGGTTAAGGGTTTTTCGTTATAGTTATTAAATTGTTGATAAAGTTGCGTGGTAGTTGTTAAGGATACGGGGTTTAATGTTATGGTTACGGGTTTTCTTGTTATGGTTACGGGTTTTTTGTTATGGTTATTGATTTGTTGTTTAGGTTAAGGGTTTTTCGTTATAGTTATTGAATTGTTGTTTCAGTTGCGTGGTAGTTGTTAAGGATTCGGGTTTGATGTTATGGTCACGGGTTCTTTGTTATGGTTATTGAATTGTTGTTTAGGTTAAGGGTTTTTCG